CATTTTGTGTGGAGTTGCCTTCACAAGACAGTTTGGCATGACAACAGGTGATAACTGGACCTCTGGCTACACTCAAGTCCTCTTGTCTTAAGCCCTCAGTTCGTGTTGGTCCAGCTCAGCCCTCTTTGTTAACAGATAGCCCACAAGCCACTGCTCTGGCTCAGCTGCAAGGACGAGTCTGAGTCTTAAAAATAAAGACCTGTTTCCTGCTTTAGACATGCCAGCTGCTCAAAATAACAAGGCACTTAATGAGAGACCCAGCACCACATTGCAGTACGAAGCATCAGCTTATTTTTGCCCTCAAACATCTTCTGTATCTTTGGATCTATTTATACTATCAGACAAGGATTTGCATCAACAAGGCCTTCAATAACACGTCGCATACATGTCCACAGATGTAGACTGGACGCCAAGTGAGACATGGCTTGTCAGGCTCACCAGTGGTGCCATAAAATGTAAATGTGATTGATGATAAAAAAATATTTTAAAACCCCTAAAACACATTTCCCATTTCACCACACCAAATCCTCCTTTCATGTTGAGTGTTATCTTCACCATAACTGGCACCAAAGGTTAGTGCCAGGTGCGACGTAGTCTTGCTAAAGGGTTGAAACAGCTGCATCATTCATATTCAGTGCTACATTTTTTTTTATATTCCCATTTTTGCATCTATTTTTTGCCGTCTACGTGTGCTACATTAAACATTTTACTAAAACTCCACTTTTTTTTTTTCCAAATAGTGCAGCTTCCATCATGACTAATATCAATAGTGTTTTGCAGAGTGGGCCTCTGTCTTCCAGACTCATCACGTAATATAGTAATGACCCTGCTGATGTGCATGTATTCTCCCTGCAGGCTGGGAAGACTGCTAATGTGGCCTCAGGCTAAAAAAGACCGCCATGCAACATCTCAAATTAAAGCTGTGATTGTCACTCTAACAACCACCGAGGCTAATGAGAGGCATATCGGTTATAGAAATAAACACTTTGGGGACACTAGTGGTGCGAGGCTGCAGTGGGAGTGTGGTCACAGGCCATGAGTCACTCAATCCCCCCATGGCAGGCCCTCCACAGGGAGGAATTTGGGCATGGGGCAGGGTGCTTGTCGCACCCTTGTGCTAAAAACAAATTTGGGACCTGTCATTCATAAATCTCTTGTTTACCAGTGCCTAGAGACACTTGTGTGCACTTTCCACCAATCAAGAGCCACCGTACTTTCACTTGGATATGAAGTACCGCAGATGGCCAATATGTTCATTGGACCAAATGCGGTCAACTGGCTGTTCCTACAGGATGATCAATTCACATGTGACCCAAAAGGTCCACAAATATATAACACGGTGCTCTTATTTTTGCCTGTGTTAAATCGAGCCGACAACCTCACAAGTGTGACAGTCTCTCGCACATTGTCTATATTAAGACCCTGCTCAGAAAAGCATTTATATTTAGCCCTAGTTACTGCTGGTTCCGTATTCTCCTCTGCCTGATGAGTATTTTTGTAAAACATAAACAGGAGATTTCATTTTGGGTTGATTAAAATGTACCGAGGCAGTGGATGGTGTTAATGTATTCTGTGGTTCTGAGTGTGGTACACGGACAGAGGCACATTTTGACATTTTCCTCGCATTGTAAACAGCAACAAGGAAAATATGTCTGTCTTGAAAACATGTCAGCTCGAGGTTTCAGGTCCTCATTATAATTCTTTAATTATTGTCCTTGCAGCCTCTTTCTATTCTTGACCGCACAGTGGACACAGACTGGACTGGAATAGAAACAGGCTCATGGGACTGTGTGGTTTCCTCAAGGACTGTTTTTTTACAGCATCTGTTATCAGAGGTTCTGCACTCGCCCTCGTCCTTTTTTACATCTGGTACAACTGACATTTTCTGTCTGAGATTTCTAATGGAGGCTCAGCTTGGTGCACTGATCAAAGTGGAGATTCTTAATGCCAGTCACAGTGAGGGTACAGAATGAAATATGGGATTAATTAGTTATCACAGTGGTAGATTCTCCAGGGCAGCAGCAGGTGATTTTTTTTTTTTTGGGGGGGGGGCTATATTTAGGTCTGTTAGGATTGAAAGTATCACTAAGGGTGCCTGACTCTATGAGCCCTATGTTGGTTCACAGGTCCGCAGCGTCCCCTCGACAAAAGAGTCCTTTGTCAAGTACTTATAGGCTAAGATTAATATTCCCTGTCAGGAGGGAAGGCTGTGTTCCACAGGTGCCTGTTCTCTGTGCCTGCAGAGTGGTCGCCCTTCTCTTTTGATTGGTGCTGTTTTTAGAACAAAGAGGGAAGAAATACAGCACGGGAGTCCCTTCTAACTGTCTTCAGCCTTTGAACGTGTTTTAAAACAACTTAAAATATCACTCAGCCACAGACTGTCTTCAGAGTCTGAGTGTGTGTGTGTTTCTGTTCATCCCTGTGTGTGTTGGATGGTTTTGTAACGTGTTCTCTCTGCTGGGGACTCCTTCCTTATATAAGAACTGAAAAGCTGATATAATAGTCAACATGTCACGCTGCTGCTGTAGGCAGGAGATGACATGCGGTGAGACTCAATATCTGCAGGATGGGGAGACATAATTATGTCGCCAGCGTTGCCATGGCAGCGACAAGTTCGGGTGGTGGATACTTGGGTGTGGGGGTTGTCACAGACCAGGATTGCGCCACTTGCTTTTATGTTTCTATTTATAATCATCACCGTCGCATACACATGGAATGGTGGCAATGAAAAAACAGGCTACATGGCAAAACAAATGGGCGCCGCTGAGCTGCACAGTGTCAGTCAACACTGGCATACTGCTGCTTAATTGACGGGTACAGCCCATGTCAATACTCCTTTTAACTGGCATTGCTTTATAAAGATAAAAGCACAAGTAGATTTAATAAAAAAAAAAAATCTGACGAGGACTGTGTCTCGCAGGTGTGGTAGAATCACTGCATGTGTTCCTTCTCTAACATGTGACCCTTCAGAAGATTAGGGCAAAGAATGCACTCAATAAATCTCCCCGCTGCCACTGGCATTTTAAGTTGGGAAATATATTTCTCTGGTTTCCAAATCAATGAGACCTTATACAGTTTGAACAGTGCGTACCCTTCCTCGAATGTCACTCCATGATCAGCATCACTAACAGGTCATTTACTTTCCGAGGACCGGCCAGCTTGTACGGAGACTGACCAAACATACTTTAGCTGAAAACCTTGTTGAACACGTAAAGATGAACCGGACATGTTGTGTCACGGAATGCGATTTTGTAAAATAAATATACATTGATGGAGTGGCCAAACATCAGTGTTAGCCAAGATTTACTTTTCAGACCTCTCTCTGTCAATTGTAAATAAAAAGGAAATCGACTTGTGTGAGTGGCCGTAGATGTTTGTAGTCAAAGGTTTAAACGGAGACGGGTTTACAAGAACGGGTTGTATGTTGTTGTGGCATGAGTGAAGACGTTTGAAGGCGTAAGAAATGTTGACTAAGCACAAGATTGATTTGTTTGTCTTCAGTTGGAAATTCATTAATGACCGTGAAGGCGTTTTGTTGAGAAAGCCTGAGCAGATTAAATGTCGAGCAGAACAAAATGATTTTAAAGCAGAAAGTATTTCTTATCCCGTTAAGTCTATTAAGGATTTATAAGGAGTCCAGTCCATGTGTGGTAATTCTAATGTTGTAGACCATTATGATGTTATTATGATAATGATGATGATGATGATGATGACGATATAGACATTAAAACATCATTTGAACAAACACACACAAAAACACTTAAAGAATAATAAGAGGAAATACAGACATCTGAATATATGGATTTGATGTGTCTTTTGATGTGAGGGATACAAAATATGGTATAACAATAATCCGTTACGAAGGTGAGTGATGAGGCAGCCCTGTTTCTGTTGTTCTTAACTGGAAATTGATTTTCTCTGAGGAAGAGCCTATATATAGAGCTAGGAGGCCAAAGGGATGCCCTCTTACTCTCTTTCTTGCAATTACTTGTGAGGTACTTGTCAGGCAGCTCTCACCAATGCACACAATGCAGCATCTGCCCTCAATCCAGAGATAGCACCATCACATCCTCATGAATTCATAAATACACACAGATTCATTAATAACGTCTCTTAAAATCATTCATATGAAGCAGTAAAGTCAGCGTGAGGTTCAGTTCTTTTATTTAAATGCACAAAAAACCGTTTCAAAGTAGAATAATATCGTTTGGATATTTACTGGAAATGACCACCACACGTTTTGTCGTGCAAAATGTCCGTTAACTCTCCTGCTCAGCTGCTCCCAGTGGATGTCCCTCTAATGGATGTGATGTGATGTTCGTTTACAGATGCTTGTATAATTACAGGCTTCTTGGAACCGCAGGAAAATTGTTTTTTTTTTCCAGATATTTATCATTTTCCTTCTGTGCTTTATCACCATTCTGGTAAACTGTTGACAAATTCAAGGGACATGGGGCGGAAAGTTTTGGGTCAGTGTTGGTAAACAGAGAGCACGAATTCTCAGGTTAACTATTAATACATTCCCTGGTCCACTGTGTTAGAAATATATTATTGTTTTATCAAAGTGTCGTAATTTGTTTTTAAACATTTTACACATGAACAGTAAAGACATGTAAGAGTCAAGATTGTGATTTGACCTCTGGATATTAAGAAAATGCATTTCATCGTAGACGCATCTGATGCAGTGGTGATTCACAGTGATCTGATGTTGTGCTGCCTTCACTGCCTGTACTGAGCATACAGTCTGCATTGATCTGTGTGTACTCTCTGTGTACAACTCAAAAAACACTGCAACATATTTTTAAGCCCAATCATTACCTTTCCCTCCATGACAGTCACGGTTGTTTTCGTTAGTTATCCTCCGACCCCCCCCCAACGCAGCCCTGCCACTGACCAGAACTATTTTTCATTTTTTCAACCTCCTTTGTTAATTGTTTTTTACGTGATAATTAAATTCAAAATAATTCAAAATCATTTTTTCTTCTTCCAATTGACCTCAGTGGACATTGAGCCCGACGTCCCATTGACTGTGGATCCATTATCACCTTTGGACCTACGCACAGATCTGAGGATGCTGGGGCCAGGCTCGGACCCAGGACTGTGGGAGAGGCAGCTACAGCAGGAGTTGCTCCTCATCCAGAAGCAGCAGCAGATCCAGAAACAGCTCCTCATCAGTGAGTTCCAGAAGCAGCATGAGAAGCTGACCCGTCAGCACCAGGCTCAGCTCCAGGAGCACCTTAAGGTCAGTACTGCACCAAACAGATGTGAGAAGAAGAACGACAGCGCAGCAGCGTACCGTGTGCAACAACACATCACAGCAGTGAACAACACAGCAGAGCACAACACAGCATGGCATATTGCAGATCAGTGAAAAACATTATTGCTTGGGACAAAGTTAGAGAGTGCTGAAAAGAGGAAAACTCAGCACAGCAAGGCGGGGTGTTGAGAAATACATTACAGCCCAGTGTGAGTTTTGTTTTTACAGACAAGTACAGAACAGCCCATCACAGCAAAATGTCGACTGTAGAGATTCACAGGACCCTGTATTGCTGTTAGAATATATTTATCAGTGTGCGTCATGCTGCCGATTTGCCTGCATGTTTCCCAGCTCCAGCAGGAGCTCCAGGCCATGAAACAGCAGCAGGAACTCGCTGAGAAAGAGCGCCGTCTGGAGCAGCAGCAGCAGCAAAACCAGCAGGAGAAGGAGCTGGAGAGGCATCGGCGAGAGCAGCATGCTTCCAGCTTGAGCCTCCGGGGCAAAGAACGCTCCAGAGAGAGTAAGAGCTCAGCACCGCCACTGTCACCATCTCTCAACCATCAGGGGTGAAATTAGTGATTGTGCAGCCCCCGAGCTAGAACAAGCATGATGCATTAAAATCATAACCCTCAACGTCATCATTGTGATGCATTTCCTTAAAGTTGAACCCCCAGGATATGCACACAAAGACACATTGAAGTGGTGTCTGTACTAGATTTTCCTGAACACTAAGAGTACTGATAGGATATTGATACAGAGCCATACAGTGTGTGGTAGTGTGAAGTGTTCCTCATTAGGCTTTTTTCAGCTATATGGTAAGAGAGATAAATATAAATAATTAAAAATATTATTATTTCTAATATGGGAGACTGGCTGTTCATGCCAGTTCATGAACTTACACTTGTTTTAATTGAAAAATGCATCAAGTAACTTCTAAAAATGATTTTGAATTATTACTACATTTTAAATGCTATGTAGCTCCTGGAGAACCTTCATGTACGCCCAGGGGTACACGTACCCCTAGATGAGAACCTCTGGTCTAAGTAATATGTTACTAAAATTTTACATTGATCTAATGACGTAAGCCAGGCTCGTGACATTTAATCTCAGCCTTCAGAAGAACATCTCTTTCAATAGCATGATGAAAATAGAAGCAGATAGAGTGTTTCATATCTGTTTTTACATTACAGCTAATACCAGTTTATATTTAGGACTTGGACAGGTCAAGTAATTCGAGATATTGTCCTGCAATTGGAACCCTCCAATTGGAAAGAACATCCCTCAGCAGTATTACTTGAGCTGCTTTGAACTAAACGCATACTCGCAGTTAACCACTAGGGGGAGATCTTCCTACATAAGTTGTGATTTGTTGGGAGGCTGGAGAAAACTCTTTTTAGAGAGATCAGAGAAGGGAAAAGTTGGAAGTTTAGGACTTTATTTTTAAATTTCTCCACCTGAATTCTAATATTATGTTCATGGAAAAGACAAAGTGTGAAGTGGTAGCCCTAGGGTGACCCCAATCCCTCTGGTTCTGTCTTTTGGTCTCACAGGTGCTGTGGCCAGTACTGAAGTGAAGCAGAAACTCCAAGAGTTTCTGTTGAGTAAATCAGCCAAGGACCCTGCAGGTCCTGGACCTGGCCACTCTTACATTCACCATCCCAAACTCTGGTACACGTAAGTACAGATACTGCTGCATGATAAAATTACACCGAGGTATTCTTTTGTTTTCGCTGTATTCGTGTATACTGCTGCATGATAAAATTACACCGAAGGAAATTCTTTTGTTTTCGCTGAAATGTTATGTGACCTCAAAAGAGCTTTTTTTTTTTTTTCGTTTTTGTGTTTAGGTCGTCTCACCATACATCACTGGACCAAAGCTCTCCACCTCTGGGTGGCACATCCCCTACCTGCCAGTACACCCTGCCGTCACCAATGGAAAACAAGGACGACTTCCCCTTGAGAAAAACAGGTTGGCCAATTATTTCAGTCACACACAGTTAGTCAGATGGAGACAAGGACAGATGTCTTCCTTTGTACAGAGATACCGATTTGGGAAATCAACACAATTTAATACAACTGTCTGATTAGAACGCTATTTAAACAAAACTGTAATTTTCTACCTGAAAAACAAGTGTTGAACCACAAACTCAGGTTAGTGAATGTTACTCCCTCCTGAAAAACAAGTGTTGAACCACAAACGTGGCCCTCAGGTTAGTGAATGTTACTCCCTGGGAAAAATGTCCTCACTTCGTTCTTGGGAAAACATGGTCCCCATATCTTAACATAAACAAGAACATTCACACACACACACACACCGAACGATACACTGTTTGATAATGTTACTGATGTTACTAATGTTTCAGAGACAGGTTATTAGTGCAGTGAGTGTGTTTTAAGACGGTGTCTATCAAAAGGTGATTGAGTCGGTGAGTTTTTCCTGGAGTTTCTGATGACCTGCTAATGACATCAGTCAGGCTCATAAAGACTCCTGCTCCTGTCTCATACCTCAGAGGCTCCACACAAAACTTTCACAAGAAAGAAAACAAAAAAACCCCGACCCTTCCTTACTTCCTATTTGGATTAGCCTAAACCAAAGCAGATGAACTCTGTTTGACAACTGTTGTGTTCTAACTTCACAAGTTTCACTTTTAATTGCTGTTATTTGTACTGCAATTACCTTGCCATTATTTAAAAGGAACCACATTTGTCTCCACGATACAATAATAAACTGTGTCTTTGAGCAGTTTGGAGGTGAAGGAGTGAATTAAAGCAGATTAATTCCTCCTGAGTTATGAACTTTGAAAACTATTTTGAGACGACGCAGGTTTTCTAGCAGTGAGCTGCTCAGGTTTGTTGGTTTAGAGTCGGAGGAAACCTTTGGGGATGACTGTGTAAATAGGAGTAATTCCTGGCCTCTGGTGGTTTTGCAGGAGCACAGGCTCTCGCCACGCTAAAAACTTCATAATTCGACAGTGAGGTCACCAAATTGCATTATAATCTTTTCCCCTCTGTGCCTCTTGTAATTTGGCTGGAAAACAGTTATAGTTGTTGAGTTATTTAACTACAAGACTGCCATGTCGCGTGTTTACTCAGAGTAAAGATCAGGCAGGGGAATTATACCTCGTAAATTAAGGTAAATGAGCAGCAAGGATAAATATTAGAAAGGTAAATTGAAGCTTTGACATTGCTTACTTATTTTAATCACATTGAATTTAAATCCATTTAACCATAAATGCCTTCTTTGAAGTCAAACTGTGTATTTGAACGTATGAAACGTCTCTTTACTAAAGTGAGTTAAATGTCCCACAGGTCACCAGCTGAAAATGATAGAGAGAGTTTATGGCAGCACTGTTTGACTCTCTCTCAGAGTATAAGCCAGTTTAAACTCAGAGCATCAGTTTACTGCTGTTTCTGTCCATGGTTAAATCATCTCCCTAACTTTTTTTTTTACACTGATAAAATGGGTTCATGCTCTTTAAATTCCTGAATCTATATGTGGTCATTTCCTGCCCAGGCCTCTTCCCCCACTTCCTGTCTGTCTTCATTAGAAGGGGAGAGCTTGGCACGCGAGGGTAAACACAAAGGTGGTGTTGTTCCTTCTGCTGCTGTCTGTCACTGAGCGCTGATTGACAGGTGTTAGGGAGTGAAGTCTGGCAGTGGGCAGGATGAACCTGGACAGTGCTGTTTGTTTAGGCAAATAGAGTGGACACGACCTCGGTGCCATGTCGTAGACACTGATGTGTCATTAACCAATGGAATGAAGAAACAATCTTTTTTATTGGATTTGAAAAAAACAAACAAAAAAACATTGCATTTATGTTACTTAAAGTGAAATCCTCAAGTGTATTAAGACCTCAGCTAAGGCTGACCTGGGCAACAAAGTCAATTCAAAGTGTTTGAATGCCCTAAAATTACGCTGGCTACTCATTGTTACTTTAATCACTCATGGGTCGTTTGTACAAACCCGGTTTTTGGAACCAAATAAAGAAAAACACAGAATGACTCTTTGATCCTAATTCGGTGTTCCATTGACACTGAAATCAACCGTAAATACACAGAGCAGCTGTAATGCCCTCGGTTTCTTTTCCCTGAACACAAAAAGCAGTTTGAAGAATTTCACGTGATTAACTTGTTTACTGGGTTTATATCCCCTTTGTTTCACTTCCCACCAACGAGAATAGACCAGACCAAGGCCGTTCCGTAGTTTGTGCCGAGAATAGTTGCAGCTTAGCCATAAGAAGTGCAACACCC